GCGCATTGAGATCAAAAAACCCAGGTATTTGACAATAGAGTAGCCCACTTATCTGAAGGGGCAACTGATCTTCATAGGCCCTCTTGTTTTCTCTGACCCGCCAGAGATCAGTTTTCATTCTTAGCAGATCTCAGAGTTCCGCCGCCTCGTTCCTTTTCCGTCATCGATCAGGTCATCGATTTGACGACGCCGCCTATGGAGAGCATGTCGCCGCTATCGCTGATCGCGTATCTGGAGCGGCCCAGCTCCTCCACGTTCAGTGCCGTCACGCGTACGGCGCCTGCCCTTGCAAGCCAGGCCACCCGCTCACCGACCGAACCTCGGCCCGTTCCGCGGTCTTTGAGGAAGCTTCAAAATTTTGTCGAGCTGCACGACACGAATCCACCGAAGCATCCTAAAAAATTCGTGCTCTTTTTTCAGGATGGGTCAAAGAAAAGACTGTACCCCTCCGAGGCTAAGGCGCTCCTTGAGCGTCTAGCCTAGACCGTTCGGTCGCCCCTCTTGCCTGTCAGCCTGACAGAGTTGAATTTTCTTTTCTCATTTATTTTTCAGGATGCCTCCCCTCACGGTGGGGAGTAGGCACCCAATTCAAGGTATTTCTTTATTTGAAATGTTATTTCCACAGGCTCTTTATTTTCGCTTTTTCTCGGACTCAGGTTGACAGCTCAAAGCTCACTACTTGTTATCTAAGTATTTTTCTACGTATTGTATTTTGTGTATTGAATTTTTTGTACATTTTGCTCTACTCCAACAAACTCAGTTCCTTTTTATTTTAAGCAAGGCATTTTTTCTATGGGGGGATACGGCTTCTCAGCTTGGGTAGCCAGGTAGGGAGCCGGGGGTTGTAAATGCACTTGCGCTCATTTAGTTGGGGGTATGCATGTTTGGGTTTGAAAACCCCTGTTTTTCGTATCGTTTTCTTAGCATTCAAGATTCTTTCAAGCACCCAAGAGGTGAAATAGAGAGTTTACCAGCCATATCCTTGTTTTTAATAATAATTACCATCAAGAGGGCACAGGAAAATTATAATAATCACCCTGTATTATACAATGCAGGAAGTCCGTATACATGGTTGTTGCCGAAAATAAAAGGAGGAGGAAAGCGGTTTGACGAACTCTCGAGACCTCGGCCAATCGTAGACGCGGAATTAAGGAGGTTGACACCTTTGGGCCGTCGTTGGGAATGTATGTCCATCGCTGTGGAAGTTGGTACCTCGAAAAATATTAGTCACCCCTACTACGAATGCATAACGACAGACGTCAAAGCAGTGAAACTCCACTTTGACATACACGGAGAAAAAAAACTCGTGCGTGGGACCCGAAGTTTAGGTCATATGGATCTCTGAAGTTTTCAGATTGAGCATCTGAACACTTTAGGTGTAGCTGCCGAAGTTCGGATCATACATCTGAAACTTCAGTTCTCACATCTGAAGTACTTCGGATGTGAGAACCGAGGTACTTCGGATGTGAGAACCGAAGTACTTCAGATGTAAGAACTGAAGTTTCAGATGTGTGATCCGAACTTCGGCAGCTAGACCTAATGTGTTCAGGTGCTCAATCTGAAAACTTCAGAGATCCATATGACCTAAACTTCGGGTCCCACGCACGAGTTTTTTTTCTCCGTGTAGAATGGATGGCTCCCAAGGAAGAAATGAAGTCAGATTACTATGCTATACAGTTCTTCATCTGATACATTCTTGGAATGATATCATCAGGGAAAAATGTCTCCATCTTGTACACGAGCAAAATGACATGGAAATTTTGGAATCCCACGATGCCACTCCAGATTCTCATGTCATCCAAGAGGGTAAGAAAATATCTTTCCACGTTATTTCCTTGTTGAAGGTGTGCTTCCTGACCATGCCGGCAATTCCAGGAATGAATATCCTCTTTCCAACTCCAAAAAAGAAAACCTCGTAACATCAAGAATACGTTGTGAAGGGGATCCTTGTGTCGGTGACGTAACCGCGGAGCAGTTTGGCTCTCCTAGCCCTCACGGACGTACCAAACGGGCGCCAAACGAATAAACCCATTCGTTGCGCGCGATGTCGTCGTCGTGTATGCTTCTCGTGCTTTTACGATAACTACCATCCAAAAAGTTGTGCGTAATTTTTTTTTCAATTTCCATATTCCTTAGGATATTCACTTTTTTTTAAAAATTTCTCCCGCATTATTCTTGCTTACTCAATTTTAATCTATCTCAACTATTGAGTATTTCAATTTCGTATTTATTAATTTTATTATTATTATTATTATTTTTTTTTTTTTTTTTTTTTTTTTTTTTTTTTTTTTTTTTTTTTTTTTTTTTTTTTTTTTTTTTTTTTTTTTTTTTTTTTTTTTTTTTTTTTTTTTTTTTTTTTTTTTTTTTTTTTTTTTTTTTTTTTTTTTTTTTTTTTTTTT